ATTAGAGGTCATGGTTGCATGACCTTGTAAATACACTAAAAAACACTAAAATTTACACTTTAAAATGGTATGGGACATGTGAACTGTATCTTGGAAAAAGAAGAGTAAGAAAAGGAGGAGGGGGGAAAAAGTGCCAAGCAAATGAAATTGCTGATGTCACAGACCCTCCTAAATTGCCAATTCTCCCTATGAAGGGAAGAGTAGGATCCTGATAAAGCCATCTAATTGGAAATGACTGTGCTCCAGGACCCTGCAGGACATATTTTATTAACACTCATTTAATAGCTACTCTAGTAACTTCTCCAGAAATGTGTGCAGTATGTCTTGCTTTCCTCAACAATTTATGTTAAAAGCATAATGGTGTTTTCTTTTCCATGTTTTATCCAAAAATTATTTGTATAGGTTGTTCTAGAAAGTTTTCCGCTGCAGCAGTACTATAGAAATGCCACTGAGCTGATCATGTCTTTGATGAGAAGCTGAATCTCACACATGTTTTTAGCCTATGAAAGAGGATTAATATTGTCATGAAGTGATATGCTCCGATTTGTAATTTTAATTCCGTAGGTTTGTGATTATGGCATTTCTTTTTACACTCAAATGGGAGAATATAAATACATAGGTAGGTTTGTGTGTAATGATTTTGCCAACCAGTTTGCTAGTGAAAAGTTCTTCCTTCACTTTTTTGATTTTAATGCTTTTAATGCAGCTGGGCTTCTGGCCAATTCAGTAACAATTACTCCACATTGTCATCTTGTCACCTGAGAGAATTCTGCAATAGTAGATTCTGAACAAATGTGTACTAAATAGATGAGTGAATGATATACTTTTCTAGTTTCTTTTTCATGGGAGGTACAGAATCATAAATAAATGCTTCATATTGTGATTCAGCCACTAAGAAATTAGGTTCACCATCATTTAAATGAGAAGTCATGTGTCAGGTAGACAATCGCATGATGGGATCTTTTATGAATATGGATTATCTTTGTTCTCAACCAAGAGCACAGTACCTAGGAGTCCAGAAAAAAAGACAAGAAAGCGGGTTAGGCCACAAGAGAAGGCGCCTTCCAGTACTCATTCTCTTTACTTCCTTCTCCAAGCAATGGACCTCCCTTAACTTCGATTGCTGAATGAAGTCCTTATACTGGCATGGAGTATAGTCTCCTAAAGAACCCTCAAGACTGAGTTTCTTGAGGCTAAGGAAAACTTATTGCACTCCGTTGCCCCTTGTGGATGGAAAGAGAAAATACAGCTTACATCTCCTGATAAACTGATAGAAGGAACAGCTTCATTATGGAAGACGAAATAATCAGAGGTCGAAGAGTTTTAGCAATTGTAGCAGTCAATAAATAAGGTCAGGATATGTGTTAAGCTTTTGGAAGTTGCTTTGATTGTTTGCTTGCAGATGATAGTGCTCAGTCCACTGGGGCCCTTGCCCTCGACTATTTTGTCTTGCCCTGTTTGTTAGATAATTTGTCAGCCCTATTTTTCTTCCCTTCTTTGGGAGTGTATTGAAAAGTTTGTCAACTCTAACCTAAACACCATCCCTACTTGGACACCAGTGCCTGTTCCCTGTAATTACTCAGGGAATTACTGACCCAAACAAGCAGTCTTTATGACAAGTTCAAATTCTTCTCTTACTGCAGAGTCATCCTGATGTGTAAATTTCTCACCTGAATTTGGAACTGTGCATAGATTTTTATCCTTTACTCCACAGTATGATTCAGTCCCAGACCTCTACCACTAGCAAGCTTGGATATAACTGATCTGTATCTTTCAGGCCTGGCTCACTTCTAGGCCCACTTCCCATGAAGTCTTTTTGTGTATATGTCTTATTTCTACCAAAAGTGGATTCTAAGCATTGGGGTCACATCATTTCCCTGCTGGCTGGCATACAACTATCAACATAGGAATTATTCAAGACAGGAAGAGATTATGGGATGGTAGGCATACTCCCAACACCTTTCCTCCACCTGTCTCTATAAACAGTTATCCTCATACTTACGACTATTGAAGCCACTACACCTAACAATAATGATAAAAATAATAATGTCTACCATTTAGTGAGTGGGTACTAGGGGCTAGGCACTTGACATACAGCCCTATGAAGTAGGTATTATTAGTCTGACTTTAAAGTTGAAGGATATGAAACTTAAGAGAATACAGAACTTGCTTTGGCCGGTGTGGCTCAGTTGGTTGGAGCATTGTCCCATACACTGAAAGGTTGTGGGTTCGATTCCTCGTCAGTGCACATGCCTATGTTGCGGTTTTGGTCCCCAATTGAAGTGTGTATGAGAGGCAACTGATGGATGTTTTTCTTTCTTTCTCTCTCTCTTCCCCCCTCTCTAAAATCAATAAGCATGTCCTTGGGTGAGGATAAAAAAGAGAATACAGTACTTGTACAAGGTCACACAGCAAGTTTGTGGCAGAGAGGTGATTCAAAACTAGTTCTCTCTAGCACTGACTGGTGTGACTCAGTTGGTTGGGTGTTGACCCACAAAGCAAAAGGCTGCAGGTTAGGCTCCCAGCCAAGGCACATGCCTGGGTTTCAGGTTCAGTCTGGTCAGGGCATGTGTGAGAGGCTGCTGATTGATGTTTCTCACATCAATCTTTGTCTCATTTCTCTCTCTCTTCCCCTCTCCCTAAAAATAAATAATAAGATTGTTAAAATAAAATAAAAAAACTAGTTCTGTCTGTCTCCAGAGCCTGTGTCCCTTAACCATAGCATATTGCCTGATTTGTTTTAGAAAATCATGGGCTTTTGGTGCTATAGTCAGAGAGAGAGGTGAATTAGATAGGGGGAAATGATATAATTTGAGCCTTAGAAAAAATATTTTATTTACTTTCATTATTCTTCCTGTGACTATGATCAACTCTCAACTCCAACTATAAATACAGAAAGAAAACATATCCCACCTAAAACTGTATCTGTGTAGTATTTCTAGGAAAATGTATTTTTTATAGTAATCCAAATCACAGATGATAATAAAACATGGTTTCCCTTCTCTCCCTATTCTGTCTTTGATTCTACCTATCTTTAGTAGAATTTTCACAAGCAACTTTTGATTGCAAATTTTATTTTGAAGTAAATGTACATACTATATTAAGTGTACAAATATTACATGCACAGCTCAGTGAATTTTTACAAAGTAAACTTATCCATGTAATCACGACTGAAATAAAAATAAAGAACATGACCAACATCTGAGAAGCCTGGCTCATGTCCACTTTCAATCAATAACTGACTTGCAATAATTATGATTTTGACTTCTATTATTATTAATTTGCCTGTTTATATAAATGAAACCAGAGAGTATACTCCTCCATGTGGGCCTTCTTTGTTTCAACATTATATCTGTGAAACAAATCTAATATTATTACTTGCAGCATAATTTAAAATATATATACACATATATGTATACATGTGAGTATATATAATTATTTTGTATAAATATACTACAAAATACTCACATATTTTACAGTTGATGGATATTTGAGTGATTTCCAGTTTTGAGCTGTTCTGAATAGTGCCACTATGAACATTCTAGTAGGTGTCTTTTGGTGGATATATGTTCCTACTTCTCTTGGATATCTCTAAGTATTTAGGACTGGTATTGCTAGATCAAAGGATACACATGTGTTAAGCTTTGTAGATACTGCTAAATAGTTTTCCAAAGTGGCTGTACCAATTTTTATGACAATAAGCAGAATATAAATAACAGTTATTCCACATACTTGCCAACACTCGCTTTATCAGGCTTTTAAATTTTAGATTTTCTGATAGATTTGTTACATTGCCACATTGTTATTTTAATCTGAGAATGAATGTTACACACCTTTGCATGTTGTAATTGGCCATCTGTGGATCCTATTTTTTGAACTATCTGTTTAAGTCTTTTATTCATTAAAAATGAACTGCCTCTAACCACTATACTGTAAATCGGAATCTAAAACAAAATAATATTGAATGCAAACTGTAACTGAAAATAAAAAGAAATAAGCTGCCTTCCTTTATTTCATTGATGTATAGGAATTCTTTGCATAGTTATACTGAGAGTCTTTTGTCAGATAAATGTATTTCTAATATTGTTTCTTCATGGCTTGCTTTTCCACTTTTTAAATGGTATCTTTTGGTACACAGAAGTTTTTTTTTTATTTTAATGAACACTAATTTATTAATATTTTTTATTCTTTTGGTTATTGCTTTTTATTTCTTTTTTTGTTTTTTGTCATTATACTTAATTTTAATTACAATTAACAGTTTAGATGAAGAACAGACTAGAATAGTGTTTAAAATCAACTTCTGAAAAAATATCACATTTCTATAAAGGAAATAAAGCAGGCCCGAAGTCCAAAAAAGGTGCAGCTTGTATTATTGCACTTGAATAAAATATGCTGTTTGGGGTACTGCACTACTTAGACCACAGAAGGCAAGTAGAAGACAAACACAGAGGATGGACCCCCAGGTAGTATTTATCCTGGACTCCAAACTCTCCAGTGGCCTCAAAAATATTTAACATTTCGAAATATTCAGTTAGAACTCTTTACACAAATGATGGCAGTGTCTTTAATACTTTTTAGTCACATCCATGTTCTTCATTCCAGTTCCTGTGCAAGTTTAAGGTACACCTGCACCTCAGGTGGTGGGACACCCGTTACACCCACAGCACCCATGGCCCAGGCCATGGGAAGTGGGGAAGGGAGTAAATTTCTATCTTACACAGTTTTAGGGACCAAAACTGTAGTTGTAGTTTACCTTTCAAGCACTCTTCATTTTGGTCATTTGGATCGGAACATGAGAAAAATTGACAGTGATTATCAATCAGCACTAAAGTAATGCCTAAGCTACTAGTAGAAAATAAAATTTAAATTTAAAAAGTCTCCGGCCACATTTTTGAAGTGGCATACCTGTATGTATAAGACAAAGGCTGTAAACTTATAGAAAAGATAAACTCTGGCTTCCAAACAAATTACAAAATTGATTTTGCCCTTCCCTTGAGTGTTATACAGAAAAATGTACACCAGTGGACCTAGTTACCAAAAAGCATTTGTCCCCTTTAAGTCAAGGAATGACCTTAAAGTTTGGCCTGAGCTAGTTTTATCTTCAAATTTTCTCCAAGTTTGTCCATGAACTCAAATGTATTCAAGTAGTCAGAACGCTGCACATTGGGTAAAACTTTAATACAAGCAGCCAAGTCCTTGGTCATGAAACCAGCCTCAATGGTCTCAATACAGACTTCTTCCAAAGCCTTTGCAAAGAAGCTGAGCTCTTTATTGTTATCAAGCTTCGCTCTGTGGGCTAACCCTCTGATCCAGGCAAAAATGGAAGCAATAGGATTGGTAGAGGTCTCCTGTCCCTTCTCGTACATGCAGTAGTAATGTGTTACAGTCCCATGGGCAGCCTCAGCTTCCACTGTCTTGCCATCGGGACAAATTAGCACGCTGGTCATCATGCCAAGAGAGCCGTAACCTTGGGCCACCGAGTCTGACTGGACATCGCCGTCCTAGTTTTTACAGGCCCAGATGAAGCCCCCCTCTGACTTCATAGCTTGGGCCACCATGTCATCGATGAGCCTATGCTCGTACCAGATCTTCTGGGCTTCAAACTTGGATTTGTACTGCTTGTCATATATCTCCTGAAAGATGTCTTTAAAACGCCCATCATATTTCTTCAGAATAATGTTTTTGGTGCTTAGATACAAAGGCCAACTTTTAGACAGGGCCATCTGGAACGAACTGTGTGCAAAATCTTGGATTGACTTGTCTTCGTTGTACATCCCCATGGCAACACCACCACCTTCTTCAAAGTTATGTACCAGGTACATATTTTTGGGGGATCCATCACTTGGCATGTAGGTCATCTCTATTATCCCAGGCCCAGGAACAACAAAATTAGTTGCTCTGTATTGATCCCCATAAGCATGACGACCTACGATGATGGGTTTTACCCAGCTGCTCACAAGTCGGGGTATATTTTTGCAGATAATAGCTTCCCTGAAGACAGTACCACCCAGAATATTTCAGATGGTACAATTTGGCGACTTCCACATTTGTTTCAGCTTGAACTCCTCAACCCTCTTCTCATCAGGGGTGATGGTAGCACAATTGACACCAACGTTGTACTTCTTTATCGTTTCTGCAGCATCCTTGGTGACCTGGTCATTGGTGGCGTCACAATTCTCTATGCCTAAATCATAGCTGTGAAGGTCCAATTCCACATAGGGAAAAATGAGTTTTTCTTTAATCAACTCCCAAATGATTCGTGTCATTTCATCTCCTTGCATCTCTACCACAGAACCGCCACCGATTTTCTGAGACATTTTGACTTCAATAAACCTGCAGGGGAAGGTACAGTGGCAATTCACCGGTGAGCGCCACAGCTACTTACACGATCAAATTCACAAGTGCAAACACTGGCCTATTTCATGTTTAAGAAATCTTTGCCAAACCCACATTAATGAAGGAAGTTTCCTCTTTTGCCTTCTAGAATTTTTATAATTTTACATATTATAATTTAGATCTACAATCTGGAATACATATTTGTGTGTTGTGTGAAGTAAGGGTTCAAATTTATATTTTTTCATATGGATCCCAAATAAGGTACTGTTTGTTGAAAAGATCATCCCCCCCCAACCACTAAATTAAAACAGCACATTTGTCAAAAATCAGGTGGCTGAATATTTACAGGTCTGTTTCTGGATCCTCTATTTTCTTCCATAAGTCTATTTGGCTATTCTTATATAAATACCTGTATTAACCATGTCTTTTTGATGCTTTGACATCTGGGGCCTTACTGATACTGGAGGAACTGCCCATCTCACAGTTAGCTAATCCCTAGAAATAGCACAGAATTTACCTGGGAGTTGGCTGATTGGCTATACTGCATTTCTGGTCAAGTGGAGCATTTCCAGGGACACAAAAGTCATCTTAAATTTTGATTTGCTGATGTGGCACCCCTGGCAGTGGTGGCTCCACCTTGAGACTCTAAAGTTATTTCAACAACAGGCAAAAGAAAAATAAATACATCATCATAGCTGATTCAGAAAAAGCATTTGGCAAAATTCTAAAGTCATTCATTGTAGTAGCTCAGACTGATATGACCAAATAACATTAAACTGAAACAACAACTTTATTTCTTACAGTTGAGGAGGATAGGAGGTTTAAGACAAAGGTGCTGGCTAATTAGGTTCCTGGTGAGGAACTTTTTTCTTGTTTGCAGATGGCTACCTTTTCTGGGTGTCCTTACATGGTGGACAGAGAGAGATCTCGTATTTCTTCCTCTTTTGTAAGGGTGTTGATCCCATCGTGAAGGTCCCACTCTCATCACTTAACTCCAATTACCTCCCAAAGACCTCACCTGCATATACCATCAAACTGGAGATTAGGGCCTCAACATATGAATTTTGGAGGGACACAGACATTCAGTCCATAACACTCATGATAAAAAATCTCAACCAACTAAGAATGGAGGTGAACCTCCTCAACTTGATAAAGATCATCTACAAAACAAACAAACAAACAAAAAACAAACCCTACAGCTAACATCATACTTAACAGTGAAATACCAGATGGTTTTCCCCCAAAACAAGAATAAAGCAAGGATGTCTATCCTCACCACTGTTATTCATCATAGCACTCGACACCCTAGATAACACACACACACACACACACACACACACACACACACACACACACACACACAGAAAGAAAACCAAGAAAAAGATATAAAAACCCTAGCCTGTGCAGCTAAGCTGTGAGTTCAATTCCTGATCAGGGCACATGCCTATGTTGTGGGTTTGGTCCTGGTAAGGATGTGTAGGAGAAGGCAACCTACAGATGTTTCTCTCTTGCTTCAATGTTTCTCTCTTTGTCTCTCCCTCCTTTCCCCTTTTTCTAAAATCAGTAAGCATGTCCTCAGATGAGGATTAAAAAAAAAGGAAATAAAAGACATACAGATTAGAAAGGAGGAAACAAAACTGTTCCTATTTGCAGATGTCATATTTTCTAAGTATAAAATCTCACAGAAAGCACTGAGAAGTAATAAGTGAATCCAGTAAAGTCAAAGGTCATGAGCACAAGACAAATATGAATTGTATTTTTATATACAGTACTAGCAATGAGGAATTGGAAACAAAAACTAAAAACACAATACCAATTCCAACCATCAAATAAAATGAAATAATTAGGTATAATTCTAACAAAACATGTACAAGATCTGTGTCTAAGAACTACAAATAAGCATATGAAAAGATATTCAACATTATTAGCCATTATATAAATGCAAATTGAAACCACAATGAGATATTATTATACACCTATCTGAATGACTAAAATAAACTAATTTTATCAGTTTCTTATCAAATTAAACACAAACTTACCATATAACCCAGCAATTGTACTCCTGGCATTTATCCTAGAGAAATGAACATTTTTGTTCACCCAAATACCTGTATAGAATCTCTAAAAACTGGAAAGAACCCAGAAGACCTTTAATGGGTCAGTGGTTAAACAAACTGGTATATTCATACCATGGAATAATACTTAGCAATATAAAGGTAAGAGCTTTTCATATCTGCAAATTTGATGAATCTCAAGGACATTATGTTGAGTGGAAAAAAAGCCAATCTCAAAAAGTTGTATACTGTATGATTCAATGTATTTAACATTTTCAAAATGACAAAATTATAAAGAGAGAGAATAGATTAGTGCAGTGTTTCTGAACCTTTTTTTCATTATTGGCCCCCTCATAAGGCTTTTTTTCCCCTAATTACCTCCCTCATTAAATACTAAAGAATTAGTTTTTATCAGGTAGGGTTGAATTTTGGAAGGCCACAATCACTGTATTAAGATTTTTTTTCAGGGAGGAGGGAACATATTGGAAAAGATAGGAGAGGAAGTCACACTGCTCTGATGATACATTTTTGTAGAGTTTTGACTTCTGAAATGCTGCCAATGTTCTACATTTTCAAAGATAAAATTGAATCAACAGGATTGGGGGAGAAACCTAAAACTGAAAGCAAATAGAAACAGATGAACCCAACTGCATTTCAACTGAATAACTTAACCACATTGAAAATAACTAATCCAAGGCACTTTTGAACACAGTACTTGATCTATATATCCTCAGATTAGAGATAAAAAGAGGTGCATACAAATCTTCAACCTTTTTAAATAAGTTTGTTTTATACAGTAGTATGAGTGCAGTATTTCTGAAACTATTTTGTGTATATTGAAGTAAATGAATTAATGTTGCTGGAAACTAGGCTTCTCACTGGAAATAGCAAGATAAAATTATAAAATAGCTGAAAGCAGAAAATACCTTGCAGTGTTGGATTAGAATTGGAGTAACTGTATGCACTCACAATCTCTCAAAAATTAAGGGAGAAACTGGTAGTGGGCTAAAAAGTATTAAATACATATGTATATAAATATCTCTATACATACATTATATACATAGATTCTATTTAACCACAATTATTCTTTTTTTAACGTGTTATTTATTTATTTTTAGAGAGAGAGGAAAGGTGGGAGAAAGAGAGGGAAAGAAACATCAATGTGTGGTTTCCTCTCACATGCCCCCACCTAGGGACCCAGCCCGCAACACAGCCATGTGCCCCAACCGGGAATCAAACCAGTGACCCTCTGGTCTGCAGGCTGGCACTCAATCCACTGAGCCACACCAGCCAGGGCTAGAATTATTCTTTATATGGAGAAAGAGAGAGAAGACTGTTGATTAGGAAATGGTCTCTTAAAAATTATGGTACACTTACACAATGGAATACTACGCAGCCGAAAGAAAAAAAGAACTACTACCCTTTGCGACAGCATGGATGGAACTAGAGAGCATTATGCTAAGAGAAATAAGCCAGGAGGCGAAAGACAAATACCATATGATCTCATCTATAAGTGGAACCTAACCAACAATACAAAGATGCAAGGAAAATAAGACCAGCAACACTGGAAAAAAAAAAAAGAAAAGAAAAGAATCCAACAGAGACAAGAGGGAAGGAGGGAGGGGTGGGCAGGGGAAAAGGAAGGGAAGGGGCAAGTCAAGGAACATATTGCAAGGACTCATGGACAAATCCAAAGTGGGGAAGGATTGAGGGAGGGAGAGGGGGTAGGGGGGCAGGGGAAAGTGGTGGGGGAAGGCAGAGACAAATGTATTTGAAAAAATAAATAAATTAAAAAAAATAACCAGCAATTTGACTGAGTGCTCCTGCTTTTATTTCTTTAAACTTTTAAAAATCTCCTTTCATTTTGGAAATCATGTATGGCTCCATACTCCTTTTATGTTAGAAACAGTAGAGCATATTGGTTAATAAAATGAGTTTTAAAGTCAGATAGTTTGTGTTTAAATCCAAGATTTTCCATTTATTAGCTGTGTGGTCTCAGTCTAATTGTTTGACCTCTCTGAAACTGGGATACCTGGTCTCTAAAATTTGAATAATAGTTATATCACTCAGAGGGATACATATTTATGTACCTCACAGAGGATTCCACAAGGAAATGTACATAGTGTGCCCAGCATACTGCAGATGCTCACTATCAAACTGATGTTATTTTATTGTATACAATTATTACTACTGAGTGACACAGTAATATATTAATGATGTATTGCTTTTTCCACATGTAAGAAAATAAATAGGACTTAATGCCTAATTCAGGTACCCAGATCAGACAATCACATAACTTTTCCATTCTCATGTTACATATTGATACACATTCTGGGAAGTCATAACTAAAATGTCAAAATATTTTAAAATTACAATATTTGCTATAACTCTTTCCATTGAAGAGGAATTCAACATAAACTTTTTTTTGTATTTTGGACTTTAAACAGAATGGTTTTGTTACTAATAGAGTAATAGTTTGTCACTACTACGCTAAATGTCTCCTTCAAGAGATAAAGGATGACAGCTCTGGGGCAGTAAATGACCCAGAGTCCGCCATCTTGTGTTTGGGTCCTGGAACTAACTGCCTTTTCTCATTGTAATACCTTGGGCAAATAACTTAAATACTTTAAATATCACTTCCTTCATCTGTAAGATCTGGATAATATTGTCTATTCATAGGATTGTTATGAGGATCAATTGAGAAGGGATGTGAACACACTTTTGTAAATACTGAGGTGTTACACAAGGATATCAGATGGTACAACATACTTTGTAGCACAAACCTCAAAGAAAACAGAGGAAAATGGTTCCACTGTACTTTGACTTGATTTTATAAGCTATGATTTTGTTACTCACTGCATGCCAATAGAATTCTCGGTAGATATTCAAAAATAGATTATAAGAGGTATCAATTTAGTTCATGAACT